ACATTTATCCTACACAATTTGCAGACAGAACTTTCCATGGTGGGAAAAATCCGTACCATGCAAGCAGGCCATACAATTAAATTGGCAGACAGAAGTCATCAATGAGTCAAGGCCTGGCACGCGTCATTGCTTCTATGATGAATGATTATTTTCTGATGCAACGACGTGTGCGCGAGCGTCAAGTGTTTTATCGCTGTCTGAAGGCTGATGCAACATGGACTTCAATATGTTTTTCCCGTAGTCAATGAAAACAATAATAGATGCAAATAAAACCCACTGCCGAATAGCTTATTCTAAAATAGTTCAGCCGGTACTAAGAGACTGGGAAACGCTGGTCGTCTGATATTCTAGTCTTAAAATCAATCCAGTGAAGTGTGAATTAGCGTAACACTGCACGCGACATTATTGACCAAATTCCTAACATATCTTTGATTATGACTGAAATACTAGAGATTTTAACTTTACTCGCAATTAACATTCCCAATAAGTATTGTTATTTTCAAAGTCGTCTGTGTTACAGATCGAATCCACAACTAAGGATACCTAATGGTTATCCTTCTATTTCAAAAAATCAAAATCAAAAATATTTATTCAGTTTAGACCACAAGTGGCACTTATGAACGTCAATAGAAAATAATAAAAAAAGAAAAAGGTAGCCCTTATGGGGCACTTTACATGTCTCCTTATCTTTTGGGCCCTACCAGCGCTTCGAGACAAACATATGGCAAGTGCTGAGAAGAAACGCCGGAACAAACTCAGTCACCACTTATTGCCAGGAATTATCTAACGGTAAGAATAGTCAAATTTAAGTACATCAAATATGTGCAGACTGAACTGACCACGCATCCTTGTCATCAATATAGTCTCGAACCTTGTAGTACCCTTTGGACATAAGGGTATTTTTTATATGTATCTTAAATTTGTTTATTGGCAATTCGACAAGGTTGTGTGGTATTTTGTTAAATATGGTAATACATTTCCCCAAGAATGAATTACCTATCTTATGCAACCTAAATGATGGAACAGCAAGTTTATTCTTATGTCTCGTGTTAAATGAGTGGACGTCACTTTGATGCAGTGACTGGTCTATATTCTATTTCCTTGCTCGATGGCACAAAATGGTGTTGAAATGACGCTATTTGACCGCAATGATCAGAATTAACAAAATTTATTATTGATTTCTCTAGCACTAAGCAGTTACAGAATATATTGTCTAAGCAAGTAGCTGATGTTGGAGTCACCCTAGTTGGTTCAGAGAAAAGATTTAACAAGTTAAAAGATTTGAATAAATTTAAAAACCGTATTGAAAGAGAGGAATCTTCTATTATATTGATATTAAAGTCTCCACATACAACTACTTTCTTTGAACTATTACACACTCTTCTAAGTACCTCTTCCATTGTGGTTTCAAATAATTCATAGTTACTAGATGGGGGTCTATATACACATACAATAACATAGTCGTCCAGTTCTGCACATGACAGCTCAATAGTTCGCTCAACAGAGAGAGATACAATACAATCTTCTATAGCGATCTGTCGAAAATTTCAATATGTCTTCAATTTTTGAACCAGTGTCGTCGATTTGTAAATACCTAAAGACATTTGTATAGTTGCAGGTATTATAGAAATAATCTTGCGGAAATATTGTCGTATTGTTGACAGAATATTAATCAGTATTGGACTTTGAATAAATAAAAGTAACAACGGATTTGGCCTTCAGTATAGTTAAAAGGTTTTCCTGAATAAATATTATACGGAAGTTTTTTCTAACAATTTTATTTTTCAGTCTGAAAAATACACGTAAAATAAAATCGCTTAGTCACTGTTTTTGTGTGTACAATATTTTATTGTACACATTTACTTGTAGCAGAAATAAGATTAAATGATTTTAAGACAATAGTGCTTCAACTAATTCAACTAATGAATATTCTATGTGGATGAAATTAATATTTTTGAGGCACCTAGTTAGGTGTAGATTCAATTTATAATATACTTATGTATTTTGTATCGATTGGTATTGCAAATACTCTTCTTCTGTTTTAACCTAACATAGTACATTTTATCTCAGAATTTAAAACATTTTTGTAACTGTAAAATTTATTCAACCTTCCTGTATTAAACACGAACTAATTACCATCACGAAATTTCATTAGCACATTGTGAGTAAAGTAAGTTAACATCTATTTTGCTATCATCTCTGATGATAATTACTCGTCACAAAACCTAAAAAAGACAAGTTTACTTTTTCATGAACGCATAGCAACCTATGCATAATGCAAATACGTTGCAGCTATAAAAACTCAAGTATCGCGCCTAATTGGTTGCATGGCGTGATATAGTCTACTTAGGACACGTGTACCCCTACACCTCACCCCTAGCCGCTATTTTCAATAGCTACAATACACTGACACATTTAACAACTGCGAAAATACCGTTCCAAAGGAAAACCCGCAATAGATACTACAAACACTAAAACTTGCACGCGACGGATAGTCTAATTACAACCACTTAATAGCCGTCATTAGAATCGATTAACAAACACAATTCTAATCCAAACGTCTAGTTACATCTCTGCTTAAATTGGCGTAGCAATCATCAGCTCAGTAATCACTCGTCAATGTACAGAAAATTTCCACAAACCCGTTTAAAAACCGGTGAGCGTAGTAGCAACAGTCGTGCAAAGACTCACGTAGACACTGTTCTAGATGTTGACTGAAAAAAACGAGGAAAACCGAGGCAAAAACTTTGTGCATCTGGAGTACGTGATGTGGCGTGTCACGAGATAATTATGGATCTTTTTGCTGTGTAACTAGAGCCGGGTTACGACCCTGTTGCAAATATCACATTAATTATCACCGGTTTCTTGCTCGTATCGAAATCGTGGAAGTTACAAGATTCGATTGAGTACTAAAAGAGAAACCGGGCTATTATACTTTTTATTGCTACCATCTTTCCGCGTATCGTTAATAATATACGAGTATTTAACATTTGGTGAATCTAAAGCGTCTGTTCAATTCTTCCATAAAAGTTGATATTATTTTACGTAAACATTCTTTTCAAGCATAAGGTTTAGGACCCTACCCTGCTCTTTTTCCTGTAACTGTGTAGAATTTTCACCTTTCAGGCATATTTAGTTTTCCCAAATTTTCCAAAAAAATCTTATTCTTACGGTCTTTGTGGCAATCCCTGGAGGAGTCCCCACCAGTAGACGCCATTTAGTAAAAAAAAATACGGTATCAATGACACACCTTTAGTTTTGCGACCTAGGTGACCTAAGATAGTGATGAAATAAGTGTAGTAATTGTGATATGTTACTAATTACTATCTTTTGGTTTACGTGTTCGCCCGCAGACACGTCTATTTCATCATGCGTTGAATAACACCTTATCTAGCTGATAAAGGTTTAGGTACTACAGGCAGACATCCAGTCCAGACATGACTTGTGAATGAATGACTTTTACTTCCAGTAGTACCTACATTGTTGTACTATTCCTGACTAATAGTAAAATAATTGATACATACTATTTTCAAAGTTAAACTAGCTCCATCTGTCTGAACTGTTCCTGATTCGATTTTTTATACTTATTTCACAACGATTTATGCGTCTGACACTTTCTACGTCTGCTGATTCGGAAACTATTTTGAAAATTAGGACATTTTAAGCACGAAAATACTAGCAAAAGTGTTATAACGGCCGTATTTTGGTTCCGTAACGCGATGATGACCTATTTGCGGTCTGGGCCATTGGCTCAACCCAATTACAACTGCTGAGTGACGCCATTTTTATTTATGCAATTCATTGCTTCTGAGATTTTGGCACTCGCCGGAGTTTATCGAAGTGTTATGGAGTAATTTCTTGGCTAGGTCAATGTTTGTCTTGTGGCTCGAGGAAAACCATTAGCCACCATGGTCGAAAGAAAATTCTTTGCTGGGATTCCTAAGCTCATTTGATTGATCTCAATGTCTGTATTTCAGAACCATTGATCGTAAGTACTTACCGTGTTGTTTTACTAGCGGTAGGTCAAGCTGTTGATATACTATTTATTAACTCCTATTTATCTAATGAACACTGTTTTGTATTCTAGTTCCCGTTTCATCGAGATTTTGAGACCAGCTGTGCCTTGAAGTGTCTGGGATCTGCCTTAAAAGTGCCTGGGGTCTGCCAAAAGCTTTTATAGCCTGTGGTTTTATGGTGAGTATTATTGGGTGTTGTGAAAAGATTTTGTTTTACGAATAACTCTAATTTTACACTGAACTCTACCGACTACTTACAGAGACATTGAACCTCGAAGAGAAGCTAAAAAGAAAAAGTTCAGAATACGCATTTATCATCGCAATTTTCACCGTTTCAGTTTCACTGAAGTATTTTACAACATGACAGCGTGTTTATGTAAGATCTTGACCTTCTCCGAGCTTTTGGCATTCTGCCGCGGATCTCCAGTTTAGGAATGCGATACACATAGTACGTGGATATACCATGTACTATGTAGGTATATGTTGTGCTGTATGTAGTACGCTTGGCTGGGTAAACACATTCCTTTTTGGTGTTTATTGTATCCAACGTGCGTCAGAAAATAACTGTTCATCTTCATTTGAGTTATGAAAGCGAGGACATTTATAAGAATGGGTACTTCATACTTGAAAGAAAATTTCGTGAGAGGTAATAACCTTCTTTGCGTTGTAATAAAACCTCAATATGATTGCCTGGAACAGAAAAATGGTACAGGAGAGTTCATATTGTGTTTTTTATAACTTGGCTTCATATACCTAGTTGATTATGTGAAAACAATAGATAGTTTTCCATTGACTTCTCGACAAAATTCGGTCCCATAATGATCACCACACAGAATTTGAATTTGACTCAATTAGAACTACAGTAAGCGTTGAATTGCGGGGAATCGAACCCCGTATAATTTTAAATCGAGCTGTAAACAATTATTATGAATATCTTTCAACATACAGGCGAGCAAGGGGTTTAAATAAGTAGAACAAGATTAAAATATATAGATAATTTGTATTTATTCATACATTCAAATGTCAACGTAGAAAAAAAAATGGATGTCGAGAAAATTGTATGTCATGCAAAATCAAACAAATTAGTTGGTTTAGTTAACTGCCTGTTAACTTTACAGTAATATTAACAAAGATTATTTTCATGCTGTCTTTCTAGTAGTAAAAAAATACTAATACAATTAGGTAAGAGTATTTATGGCGCTTTTTCTATACTTTTCTTATTTAAGTTGGACAGTGTATAAATATTTATAAACAAGTGTCACTTGTTATGTTGTACTTACTATACATACTATATTTATTCGATCACAATGTAGTTTAGGTAAGATACAAATATTATTGTTAGTAAATGGCGGTCCGACAGAAATGTCAACTTGCTCCTAGGAACAGCAGGAAAGACCTAGCCGTAGGCGTAGACAGACCTAGAATGCTAACTAAAGAATAACATAAAATGCAAGTAGGTACGCTATGTGAATATTATAGTTATAGAAGGTAGTTTTACTTTAATATTATCGTGTTATGTAGCAGGTAGTTTTCTATATGAAAATAAATCAGTTTGCACTCAGCTGGTCGTATGATTTGACATGGCGCAGCCGGCAGGATTAAAATAAAGTTAAATATGGAATCAGTGCTACAGCCACCGTCGCCGTTTCGGTTTGAAAATAATTTACTCAACGTTACATCGGGAAATTTAAGTCAAGAATGGGAGAAATGGAAGAAATCGTTCCGGATATATTACGACGCATGTGAATTGGATAAAAAACCAACGAAGGTACAAATAAACATATTACTACACATCATAGGAGAAAAATGCAGAGAAGTTTATGATCAATTTACCGAAAAATTTACGTCAATTGAAGATTTAATAAAAGAATTCGATAAATTTTTCCTACCGAAAAGGAATATAACTGTGGAAAGACACAAGTTTTTCATAAGAAATCAACAAGACTTAGAATCGATTGAGCAATATGTCTTCGAGCTGAACAAGATGGCGGGTAAATGTGAGTTCAAAGACTTGTGTAAAGATCTTGTTCGAGATCGCCTAATTTGCGGCTTGAAAGATGCGGCCCTGCGTGAACGTCTACTGAGGGAACAAGATCTGACCCTGGAGAAGGCGATGGCTATATGTCGACTGGCAGAGATCTCACGTGTGCAGGCGGGACACATAAAACAAGAAAACGGAGATTATGAAACAAACAAAAGCGAGGCAAACATTGATGTACTAAATGCGAGTGCGAGAGGAAAACGTCAAAGTTACAACAAAAATCGGAATGCAGGTAGCAGCGGCAGTCGTTCGGGAACGTCATCAGTGCCTACTCGTGCGCGGGACCGCAGTACGGCAGTGTCCGCGGTAAAAAGATGCTCAAGGTGTGGTCTAAATCATGGGTATAACCGATGCCCAGCTTATGGACAGCAGTGCAATAAGTGCAGCAAAATGAACCATTACTCGCGAGTGTGTACAAGTAAAGTTTATACCGTAGAGGAGGAGTCGGCCACTGATCAGGTAACCACTGTCAATAATAACAAAGACTGGTTAGTTACTTTACAAATAAATAATAGCAAAATTGCGTTCAAGTTAGACACAGGGGCAGACGTTAACGTTTTACCGAGAAAATATTTAAATAAAGTTGGTATTTTAGAAAGTGATTTAATTACAACATCTATAAAATTACAGGGTTATTCTGGAATGAAAATAGAAGTTATAGGAAAATGCAATTTGAAAGTATTTTATAAAGAAAATGTATTTATTTTGAGTTTCATAATAGCAGACGTTGAATCTACTCCAATATTAGGGAGACAGTCATGTAATGAGTTAAATTTAATCAAAAGAATATACTCTTTAGAAAATGGAAAGAATGATGAATGCATTTTGGATGAATTTATGGATGTATTTGAAGGGGTAGGTTGTTTGCCAGATGAATATAAAATAGAGATTAGAGGGGATGTTTTACCAGTGATTCATTCCCCGCGCAAATTACCAATTGTCTTACGCGAACAAGTTAAAAAGAAACTAGATGAGATGGAAAAACAAGGTATAATTAAAAAGGTTGAGGGTCCAACAGACTGGGTAAACAGCATGACTGTCGTTAAAAAACCTAACGGCGATCTGCGTATTTGTCTAGATCCTAAAGATTTAAATAAGGCCATTAAAAGGGAACATTTTAGGTTACCAACCCTTGATGAAGTCACTGCTAAATTGTCGGGTGCAAAATACTTTAGTACCTTAGACGCAAAACACTCATTTTGGCAATTAAAATTAAATAAAGATAGCAGTAATTTATGTACTTTCAACACAGTGTTCGGTAGATACAAGTTTTTAAGAATGCCCTTCGGTATTTCTTCGGCATCTGAAGTTTTTCATAAAAGACTTTATAATTACTTTGATGACATAGAAGGAGTAACCCTATTTGTTGATGACATTTTAATTTATGGCAGTAATAAAAAAATTCATGATCAAAGATTACGTGCAGTGTTGCAAAGATGCCGCGAAATAAATATAAAATTAAACAAAGAAAAATGCAAAATAGGTCAAACAGAAATAACTTATTTAGGGCACAAAATCACTCAAACCGGCATCTATCCCGATCAATCACACATAAGTGCTGTTAGAAATATGCCTACACCAAAAAATATAAAAGATCTTGAAAGATTTTTGGGCTTGGTCACTTACGTTGGCAATTTTATACCAAACTTGTCAGAAAAAACATGTGTATTGAGGGAATTATTGAAAAAAGACGTACATTGGCACTGGGAGGATAGGCATCAGAAGTGTTTCAATGATATTAAAATGTTTTTATCTAATCCGCCAGTATTACAATATTATAGCTTAAAAAAACCTATTACATTGTCAGTAGACGCCAGTAAAAATGGTTTGGGGGCGTGTTTATTGCAGGACGGCCTGCCAGTTTGTTATGCGTCACGATCATTAACAAAAACAGAACAGGCGTATGCTCAAATAGAAAAGGAGCTTTATGCTTGTGTGTTTGCATGTGAAAAGTTCTACATGTATATTTATGGTAGGCATGACGTAACAATAGAAACAGATCACAAGCCACTAGTGAGCATAATTAATAAGCCACTCTCAAATGCTCCCGCGCGATTGCAAAGAATGTTATTAAGACTGCAACCGTATACATTTACATTGGTATATAAACCGGGCAAATATTTGTACATAGCTGACGCGCTGTCACGCGCAGTGGAAGCCCGCGCGCCAGACGTGGTCGCGCCGCGCGACCAGCTGGACATACAGGCTCAGGTGTGTGCGCTCCTCGCGAGTAACCCTTTGACCGACACTCATTTCATACGAATACAAAAAGCTACTAAGCAAGATAAAGAATTACAGGAGTTAATTAGAGTTATATTAACCTTTAACCGACGACGTGATTTTTTTGTCACGTCGTCTGCGACGTGCGGTCTGTGAGACCGCTATACTGTTTACTCAAAAAATAATAATTTTTTGTATAAAAGTATATTGGTTTTATATTTTTTGAGAACATTATAGTATAACAAATAAACGTACTAATAATTTTTGAGGAAATAATGTATATTATTAATTTACATATAGCTAATACTTTTTTTACCCTTAATTTCATTGAAATTACACAAGAGCTCAATAATACCTCTAAAACTTGTAAATTTTAACCAAATCAAGAAAAACTGTACTTCTTCCTAAATATAGTGAACATAATGAATAAAATAAAAATAAATGATACGTACATTACCATTAACAAAATAAAATTGACGTAGGGTAAACATTAGGCATAATCTGGACATATTTTTTTACCGCATGCCAAGCATTTTCGGTATGCATAGGTAACACCTGTAAGATAATTTCGTTTGCAATTTAGGTGGACTAAAATGTGCGTCGTTTTTGCAGCTGGTGCAATGACATCAGGCTGATTTAGCATGTCAGAGCCAATAATAATGTCACTGTTTGCTTTACCACCCGTTCCGCGGTATTTTTTTACAGACTACCATCTTTTACATCATATTATGTCCTAATATCAATATATCAGTAGGAAATGTCTTTCTCTAGGTTGTGTTGGCCCAGGATCCATCATTTTTACACAAAATCAGTCGTCTAAAACAAAAATGCAAGTTTTAGTATAGTACAAAAATATTACGTAGTCTGCGACGTGCGGTCCCACAGACCGCTGTTGAACTTTGAATCGAATTATCTTATTAAAACTGCCCTCATCGATGTAACCACTACCTGTAATGGCGTATGGGTAGCTAAACTCGAAGGTACTGAGACGCTCGGGACACGGGAGTAAGTAGAACATTGCAATCCAGAAATTTCAAAAACCGGAGCGGTCTGTGAGACCGCACGTCGTCGGTTAAAGGTTAAAGGGATGGCCAGCTACTAAGAAAGACGTAAGTGATATTATAAAACCATACTGGGAGTGCAGGGATGAGTTATCTATAGCGTATGATATTGCGTGGAGAGGTACCCGAGTCGTCATACCAAAGTGTTTAAGATCGGAAATGCTAAAAAATATTCATGCGAGTCACTTTGGTATTGAAAAGTGTAAATTGAGAGCTAGAGAAATATTATATTGGCCAAACATGAATACACAGTTACTTGATTATTTATCAAACTGTCAAGCTTGCCTATAGGAAACAAAATTCTAAACAAAGTTTACTTCAGCACGATATACCTGAGAGGGCATGGTCAAAGATAGGTGTAGATATTTTTCATTTCAGAGCTGAATCATTTTTATTAGTTATCGATTATTATAGCAAGTTTATAGAAGTTGAAAAATTAAAATCGTTGACTTCAGAAATGGTTATAAATAAATTAAAGAAAATATTTAGTCGACAGGGAATACCAGAGATAGTTATGTCTGACAATGGACCCGAATTTTCTTCGAATAAATTTAAAGTATTTAGTAGGGAGTGGAATTTTCATCACGTGACGTCATCGCCGAGATATCCTCAATCTAACGGCCAAGTTGAACGGGCGGTTCAAATAGTTAAATCAATATTAAAGAAATCTAGCTTCGATAAAAACGATTTAAATATCCCACTTCTAGAATATTTGAATACACCACTAGATAGTAATTTGCCCTCACCAGCTGAACTCCTTAACAGTAGAAAGTTAAGAAGTATTTTACCCTGCAACCCAAAGTTACTTAAACCCAAAATTCATAAAAATGTAAAAAATAACTTAGAAAAACGTCAATTTCAGCAAAAAGAATACTATGATAAAAAATCTAGGAATTTGAAACCATTCGAAGTTGGAACGAAAGTGAAAGTGAGAATGGAATGTGGATGGAAGAATGGGGTGATTTGTCAGATAGTTGGTCCTAGGTCATACTTAATTAAGATGACATCAGGTAATATCCTTAGGCGAAATAGGCGTCAGCTAATTAAAGATTCGGAACATAGGCAGGAAACTGGAAATACATTTGATCATAGCAACCGATACGATGATATAGATATAACGCCTCCTGACCCCTGTGTCCCATCGCAAGTGTCGCTAAATAGTAATTATGATTCTTATCATAAAACTCGTTTTGGCAGGACAGTGAGACCTCCTGATCGGTGGGCGTATCCGAGCCGTGAGCAGAGACCTTAACAACAATACCTGCATCGAGAAATGTACCTATTCCAGGCAGAATTATCATATTTAAAATTATTTATTACAGTTATTGCACGTTAAAAAGAAAAATAAAAAGCAATTAAATTATTAAAATCATATTACAACATTTACAATGTATTATTTAATTTAAATTTGTTGAATGTATTTGGAATCTATTTATTTAATAATGTGTAATTAATGCTGTTTAATAAAATTTACTATCAATTTACTATCATGTAAAAGTACATTATGAAGTAAGTTATCTTTAATAAAATTCAATAATACCTACTACTACTACAACCTTATTGTAGTAGTACGCTATGCACAATAATTAAATTATCCTAATTGTGACTAATTTATAATAATCGGAATGCTTTCCATAAAAATAATAAATATGTTTGCTATTATTAAGTTCCATTTTATTTCTCTAAAGAAATAATGAGAACAATATGTAATTAATTATCTTCATTACAATTAAGATTATAAATAAGATAATGTATTATAATTTGGATGTTGCATGAGATAATTTTAATAATACCTACCTACTTTCAAATTGATTAAGAAAGGTCAAATAATTGAAATATCTTATTAAATGACTAAACTTGATATTAAAAAAAATATGTAATTAATTACTACTTTAAATTCAAAATGTGAAATTTAAGCATTGTTTTCTATTAGAACATAGTTTATCGTCTTGTTTTTGTTGCATTTTGTTTGTTGTAGTCAAATGTGGCTTCAATTAGGTGATAATTATTATTTAATTTGTCTGAGGGGATGATGGATTGGAATAATAAGTAAAAAAGGGGAGTTGTGAATATTATAGTTATAGAAGGTAGTTTTACTTTAATATTATCGTGTTATGTAGCAGGTAGTTTTCTATATGAAAATAAATCAGTTTGCACTCAGCTGGTCGTATGATTTGACACGCTACTCANGTTTATCGGGTGTCTTGTTTTTGTTGCATTTTGTTTGTTGTAGTCAAATGTGGCTTCAGTTAGGTGATAATTATTATTTAATTTGTCTGAGGGGATGATGGATTGGAATAATAAGTAAAAAAGGGGAGTTGTGAATATTATAGTTATAGAAGGTAGTTTTACTTTAATATTATCGTGTTATGTAGCAGGTAGTTTTCTATATGAAAATAAATCAGTTTGCACTCAGCTGGTCGTATGATTTGACAGTGGGGGTCATTATTTAAACTATATTTGAGTTTTAATAAAATTAAATATTAATTTATTTTTTTATTTTTAATTTGACTAAAATTTTCAATTAGTTTTTGACTTATGTTTTTAATTTTAATNGCTACTCAACTTTTTTAAACAGTAGAATTTTGCTTTTAATAAAACTTTGTCAGTTCTAATATTAATAAAAATGTGGTCAATTCTGACCAACTTTTCAGTCAAATTACAAATAAGCGAAACTATCACAATCTTGCACAAGTCGTCCATAAAAAAAAACAATTTTATAACACTAACTAGGTGACCTTATAATCTAGTAATCAAATTAAAGTAATTCTTCGTCAGAATTTGTTACACTTATGATACTAACATTTATTTCCGAATATTCCAATGATAGTGAAGTTATCAAGTAGGTGACTATGTAAGCAAATCAGTTTTAGTGCCATCTCCATACTATAAACACAAGTTGATGTCAAAAGAAGATACAACAACAATAATAAAATTACTGGAATATACAAAAACTCAGTATCAATTAAACATTCAGTTGCTTACTAACTTGCTGCTTGAGCACAATCTTACCGCAAGCTAAATCGTGCCTTATTAATACGGACCAATTTATCTTGCGCTAAGTAATTCGACTCGATCGAGCTTACGAAGGAATTGCGGTCCATACCTCATTAGGTATCATTTGTCATCTTGGTCCAACGTCAGGGGGTTCTCGTCGAGGCAGCCATTGATGACCACAGTGTACTGGTTTGTATTATACTTCTTCATCTCTTGTTCGAATAGGATGTTGTTTATGGCCTGTTTAATCATAGACTGTGTTTTATCTTCGTGTTTTCTTAAGGAATCCGCTATGTACTCTCCGAAGCTGTCGCATTCGTCTTTTTTCCTGGACAAATCAGACCTTCTCAGCAACCTAAGGGTTTCTAGTAGTCTGCTGTCGAGTTTGCTGGCCGTTGTGGACACCTTCTCAACGAACCGCCTCCTGATCGGCTTGGTCAGCCGGGGCTTGGAGTGGCGGTTCCTCTTCTTGTACTCAGGGTCGGCGACGGGCTCCTGCTTGATGACGATCTCCTCGTGGAGGTTCCCGTATTCGTTGTCGGAGGAGTGCTCGGACTCTTCCCTCTGGGTTTTCACCTCCACCGACTGTGGAAAAAAGGTAAACTTTAGTTTTTTTATTATGACATTAGATGAACATTTGGGGAGACCTTTGCCTAGAAGTGGACGTCATTTGACTGAAACGATAACATGTATTTAAGGTAGATAAATAAGAGTAATTCCCGTTTTCACCATCAATCCCTAATTTTGAAGTGACCCCTATGGTAACACATAATATGTATAAATTTTGTTTTCGCAGGGGTCACTTAAAAATTAGGAATTGATGGTGAAAACGGGCATAAGCTAGTTAAGTAAAATACATGAATAAGAAAAAGTAGTTTTAGGCAGTTTAAACATATTTCTTTAAACTGCCTAGAAGTAAGGTTACTTAAGTTCTTCGTTGCGTATAAAGGTCAATAAAAATACCTCGTATTTAATTAAGGAATTCAGTCATTTAATAGCTATTCAATAATGGGTAAGTTATAGGGGTGTCATTATTTTAATTAAATATCCAAAAAACCGTGACATGTCTTCAAAAATTATAAGACGCCATTACGACACCGTAACAGTATAATTGAATGGATATAGCAGGCTCACCTCGAACTGAGCAGAACTCAAACAGTAAGTTTTATATCATTAACCGGTAAGTACCTGGGTGGCAAGAATATGAGTATTCATTTGAGCTGGGGACTATCATAGACTAGTGCCTATGGTAGTGCCCCATACAGTACATAAGTTTAGACAGCATGTTGTATCATGGTACCCTGACTTAGTGGTTCTTTTTTATTATCCACAACGACCGATATAAAATGCCAGTTGTGCGGTTGAGGTTTCAAATTCTAATGTCACGTGACGTTTTTGTACCAACAAACTAAGCTTGGTTTAGGACTAGGTAAGTTGTGATGTTCTGGTAACATTTTGTGTAATTATTTCATGTTGCTTGCTGACCACAGCCCCACTGTGAATGCAAGCAAGCCATCTTCACATATTGTCCACAATCTCGTTATTCAAGTTCCATTTCGAGACCCGTTAATAAATCGGATTGTAGTCACTTTCGACCAGTTTTTCGAGTTAATGACAGTGTTTAATTACTGTCGTGATAGGGCTGGCACGTTACTGATAAAATATAACATTACTGTACCATTATTCTTTTAACAACTAGATATAGTACCAGTAAAACCATAATCTAGCAGAGTTTTTCACTAGATTTGTGCCCGTGGCTGGCCAACCTTCAATGTTTCAGTAATTTAAACACCTACTAGAATTTTAGAGTGGGTCCAGTTACTGGAAAAATATTTAAAAATGCAATCTAGCGACTTGGCCCGTGAACCAGGCTAAAAGTGGGCCAAACGCTGGAAGACTCGTCACCAGACAACATTATCTTCTGTGATTTTTTCGTTATTAGGTACTAAAAGACGGCTTTAGGCCCAGTTTCACCATACTCTGTTAGTTTTCTCTAAATGGGACATTACTTAACCAGTCATTAAAGTTAACAGGGGTGCTAACAGCACTGTTAAATTTTCGTGTCCCATGGTATTATTTTAACAGACCATTACGAAATCATACATTAAGTGAATGGAGTCTCAAATCATTCACTCACTTTCTAAACCGACCAAAACAAAATGTCATTGTATGTAATAGAATTGCTTCGAAAACGAGCACTATTCTCTTCAGTCGTATAATATTTTTGTGACATGTAAGGCGACTGATTTAAATACCACGTATTTTGTAGAATTCATCAGAAATCGGGTTGCATTTCATTCTGCTGGTTGAATAAATGTCAAACATTTGTTTTTTGTGTGACTGTGTCTGTGAGTTTGAGCAAGATTGTCTTCAATGGATTCCAACACATCCAAAACAGATTCTTTCGAAAGTCGAAATCTTGTGCGACATATTCTTCGAATAATGACGCCGTGCTTTTAAATATTTTGGGTCGTCGTACTATACAGTGTGTTTGGGATACATAAAAATTGTTTGTATTTCCTATGTGCCCGTCTTACAGATAAATAAAAATTTGCATTTGTAAACCAATAATAATTATGTGTCATTAAAAATGAAAAATTATGACCAAAAAACTTTAAAAAAATAATGAATTTTAGTTTTTGTCAAAAAATTCAGTTTCAAATTCAAATTCAAATTCAAATTCAAATTATTTATTGCATGTCACATGGGTAAGGGTTGACAGGAACATAATATTGAACATGTGACGCCCAGTGAAGGCGTTGCAAAAACTTAAAAATAACATTAAATAAAATAGAGAATTATTACCTAAAATAAAATTAAATAAACATTAAAATTATAAAATCAAATAAACATTAAAATTAGAAAATTAAATACTATTAAATTATACAATTACATAATTATTATTATTATATAAACAAAGACAGACCATTGCAAATAAACAATTATTCTATTCTATTCTATTCTACATAATATTTTCATTAAAAAATTCAGAGATGGAATAATAGCTTTTGAGAGTGAGAAACTTCTTTAATTGTTTTTCATATGATGATATTTTATCTATATCTTTAATTTCATTTGGGATGTGGTTATATATTTTTATTAACATTGAGTGTGGCGCGGAAGAGTATAATTCGAGTTTAGTAGTTGGTACCTTCAGTTTGTTTTGATAACGATTATTGCGTCTGATTAATTTAACAGGGGAGTAAAATTCAGGGTGTCTTCTTACGAACTTACAAGCTTCAAAAATGTATAGGCTAGGTAAAGTGAGTATATTAAATTTTATAAAATGGGGCTTGCAGGTGCAGTTTTGACGGGCACATAAGAAATAAATAACATTTTTGTGTAGTCACATAGAAATAAATTTCAAAAATTAAGCCCTTCCCCCATTCCAAGAGGAGGGGGGTAGGCCTACATATTATGGGAACATTTTTGTCGATAAAATTTACATAATAACATCGCCTTAAATTATATTATCGCTAGCCCTATCCCAAACACACTGTATAGACCAAATTGTCTAAAACTTCCAAAGGATCCTCGTTTTCGAAAGTAAAATTGTACGCCATTGCGATCCTGTTCCTGTGTGACAGTAAACTAACAGCCTGTTACCCATCTAACGGACCTAATGAGCAGCAATTAAGTTTAACAACGGATTACGGATATTAAACATTCGTTAAAACATGGTGGGACATTCAATAACCTTAACAGTCTGTTAAATGATTTAACAGGGGTGTTAATTAGTTAACATTGTATGGTGAAACTGGGTCTTAACCTCTCTAAGAGTCAATACCGGAACCGCGCTCGCCGCCAGTGAATGGCGTAATGCCAGTTACTAGCGTGTTATGTGCGCGAAAGGAAGTTTGACGGTCTAATGGCGCATTGAATCGTCTTCAGTAAACACTAGTATTAGGTTCGACTTCCAGTTGGGCCAGACAGACAGACCCTCGTTTGTATGACTGTAGTTATTGTGCTTATAAACCGTGACAACTTTCGAAAGAACTGCTGAAAAACATAGTTTATCATAAAACTGGTATTTAAAAAGTTCGTGTGTGAACCCTAGATGGGCAATTAATTCGCCGTTCGTTGAAAAACTAGATGTTTGTTAAATGGGAGGATGCAATTACCGATTTCCTCGGCAAACCAGTACCTGGTCATTTTGCCGTAACACGAGGAAGAGCAGGTGACCGGCGTAACCGCATCCTCCCTAACTTATTAAAAGATCTCGCTTTTGGTAAAAAGAAAGCCGATTTTGGGGCCCTAAATGCCTAGAAAGAAAAGAACGAAAGCAAAGACATTTATTTAAAAAAATACTAAAAATCCCAAACCTGCATCCTCAAACTAAATAAACCACATTGCAATAGAAGTTTTATAGGGTGGGTTGCACCATCTTACTTTAACTTTGACAAACGTCAAAAATCTGACAAACTCCATACAAAAAGCACCGGTTATCGTCATAGTAGTTACCGTTAAAGTTAGGTGGTACAACTCAGCCTTACAAAAGTAGGAACTCAAACATACACGGGAATCGAACCCACGCTATAGTAGGCTAGGAACTCACTCAGTTTAGGGCAAGGGAGATAGATTACAACGCGGCAAGCAACGCAACGGGCTATTGAATCAATAAATAAATATCAGTCGCCCGGCAAGCCACCGGTTACGGACATATTTTCAAGTAAAATGAATACCTACTTAAGATAACACTATAATAACCTTTTCTTTATGTATATTGAATGAAAAGGACAGCCAGTCTGACAAAAAAAGATCAAACAACCGTATCATATCCATGAAAGATAAAGAGAGAAACTGTAGACACTGAAAAGTCTAAAATCAATTGTTTTCACGTTTCGCCACACGCGAACCGAGCGAGCTAGTGTGTGCTCTGCCCTAATACAGTGAACAGTGGTTCTATATTGGCTCACATAAAATTCTTTATCCTATTCTTTGTCTTACTACCGATTTGTGTTCATAATAATCTCTCTTCATAATTTTATTTTTCATACTTTTTTTATTCATAAATTTTTATTACTACCAACGGAGCTCATAACAGTTAGTAATCATAATTTTTTAATCAATACTGTTACTGCCAAGAACCATTTAAAATACATAATTTTTATTTTCAGATCTTTTTTCTTCATAACATTCATTGATCATATTGTTTTAATTAATAATGTTGTTACTACGAAACATACTTCAACTCATAATGGTGTTGTTCAGAATAATTTACTTTATAACAGACATACTCGTATCTTTAAAAAAATCAATTTAATAAAGTAAATAAGCATGCAGAGCATGCAGCATGAAAGCAAGCATGCAGCATGCATTGGTATCTCCTCGTCTCCGGCGCTGCGGGATGTGCAGCCCTTCCGCCCTTGCGTAACGAGTCTCAGGCACCCACGCTTGCTTCCGCAGCTTCGGCTTTTTGGATCGCCATCGGCGCCTTCGGCGCCTCGGCGACCAGCCTCAGCCGCTCCAGCTCACCCGGGCGCCTGAGCCTCGTTACAGCGGGCGAGGGCTGCCCTCCCTCCGCGCCTCCGGCTTTTAAATTACACTCTAGGGGTAGGGCAGACAAGACTACGTGGAGTCGGTTTTGCAGCGATTCGTTTCTGTCACGTTAGTTTTGTGGCACAAAATATTGCCTGTTTGGACCATTTTTGGATCATCTTCTTCTTCTTGTCGTGTCGACAACAAACCTACACAGCGTCAGCCCAAAACTCCGCCACAAGAGTGGCGTTGTCAGTAGCACTCATCAAATCCTCCTGAGTGCAGCTTTTTTGGATCATGATTTTCAATAATATGGATAAATACACTTATGAGTAATTTTATGAAAACAAATATTAGGATACATCACATTTATGAATGTTATAGTTATTTATTCGAATGATTATGAGTTTCGATCATTAGTATAGAAAAATATATGAAAACAAATATTAGTAAAAACTAAGTGTATGATTAGTGATATTATGAATATCAATGATTATGTTTTTAAATATGTAGGTTTCAAATTTTTTATGAAGAATGATCATTATGGTATCAAATTGTATGAGAAATATTTTCGGACCTCCAATGATAGGAATTTAAAAGTTATGTAAGAAAATGCGCTACCGTGAACAGTAACTCTATTTGTATGTCACATGACACGGCGATAACAGAGTTGCAGTTAATACACACTGTGATAATAAACTATTTGCAAACATGCTATGCAAATATCCGAAGTAAATTAAATGATGCATGAACGTTTTAAAAAAACATTTGACAGATAAGAAGTAATGCATCTGTTAGCGTTTGACAACAACACAGCGCTGCGGCCAAATGCACTTACCGGTATATGAATAGTGACATTCTCTTCAGCGGAGTCCAAATGATTGGGTAAAAAACTCAAGTATTTGTACAAAAACCACGTGCTCCGCCCCCCGCACCGCACCTTCCCCTTCTCCCGCCGGTGCGAAGCGAACACAGAATTCAGTTTCTTCCGCAAGTCCGCTATGTCGCACTCGAACTCGATCGCCATGTCGGACCACGCTTCGTATTTAGCCGTCGGCACTCTGTACAGCTCATGCTGCGTGTCCCACAGCTCGGGCCGCTTCTTATATTCGTTTATCAAACGAATAACCAAATCGTTCGTCCATTCCACTTCAGCCATTTTGATTTTCACTGTCAATGTTGAAAGATGTCACAGATTGTTTACGCGTTTGAAATATGAATGCTTGCGGCGGTGGAGAGCGCGCGAACACGCATTCGGTACGTGCTCGCTCGTGCGCGGTCCGAGCGTGAACTGCGGGAGGCGGGGAGCGTTCGGCGGCCGCTCGGCGGCGCCCGGGGGCGCTCGGGCGCTCGGGCGCTCGGAGGCGTGTGATGGAGGCGCCCGGCTACCGAGGTTCGGCGCGAGCAATGACAAATACGTCACCGCGCGGCCGAGCGGTTCGCGCTCGGCGTGGAAGGCAGCGAACGCGGGTTCGATTCATGCGCTGGGCCAGCGTTGCTTTTTGTACTGCTATCACCAACAGATTTTGCACCATCTGTCAGTTCTCAATGTTATGAATAACCCCAATCATATAATACAAGATTTTTTAGATAAAATATAAGCTTTCATTATTTAACCATCTTACAATATGTTACAAAAAAGAGTAAACTTTCATTTCATATTTTTTTCAGGTAGGTTAATCTTCCAAGGTGAATTGTTAAAAATACTGTTTTTTTATAATCTTGCAGATAATTTGTATTCACTTGTTCGCCCTTGAAATTACTTGTAATATATTTTTCTCTAACCAAGTTATTTAAAAGATAAAATAATTTTAATTAATATGTACCTACGTGTTTATTTGTTTATAATTTGCACTTTATTGATATTATATTCAAAATTTGTTGTTTTCTTTTAGTTTCCCATAAAAAATTATTCATACGATTAGATAAGTTACTAGAATAGCATTATAATGATAATGAAAGCCAAATAAAATTATGCTTGAAGGAAATGTTAAAAAGGATTTGGTACCTATTTGATTATGAAAATAGCCTGTGTACCGGCGGTAATATCCGACAATAGTTAATGATAGTGAAATATTTAATAATTGCCTTAAGAGTTAAGATCACGCAATCAAAGTCCTAATAAGCAACGGACATCTAAAATCAGCCGGCTACCAGCTTTCTAACTACAAAAGTGCCAAATTCAATGAGACCCTTTCATTCATATCAATGTTATAAACCTTTAGACCATCTTAAACTGGTTGCCTAGCCAAATTATCAAGAACCTCCATCGGACGCTGTTGCTATTTAATTTGTGGTCAAGATATACTGGTGACATTCGCTAGAATGGTCCCTTTGGAGACCAGCGTATCTAGATCTCTCAGTTCTCAAGCGGCTGTACTGGAGTGGTCCTTTTTGATAGGTCAAGTCAGTGGCGGGTCCCCCGTTGAATGGAGAGGTACAGCCGGGAACTGAACTTTGAAACAGGGAGTTACGGCTTTAGGAATACGGTTGGAAATGGGTGAAAAAAGTTGTTGTACTCTGTACATGAATGGACGGAGGACCCACCCTCCCAAGTTTAGCTAAGGGCAGGTAGATTGAATTAATGAAATTCTATTTTGGGAGGGCAACATTTATCTTTAAACTTACATTTAATTAGAAATGTTTGTTCTGTATTTATTAAGTATACAGACCATACTTAAACGTTCGTCTTAATTAAAGTAATTAAGTAACAAACAAACGTAATTCGGTTGGTTTAGTAAATTTTGGATTAGAATAGGATTGAAACAGCCCTTATGAATTCGCAAATTGCCCACAACCTATGTGAACTAAGTATGATTATTGGTAAACACGTTTATTTTACAAACTACAGAAGTTGCATAGTCTCAAAACAAACTAATAAACATTAGTTCGAAAGCTCTACATTTTGTCATAAGTACCAAATATTTTTTTTGTGAGCGAACATGACGTACTTTCAGCGGTACTTTTTTCTGTTTTTCGTGTGTACATTGAACTGTTAAAAATAGCACAGTTTTTTTCTGAACATTACAGCTACAAACATTGTTTTTCCTTCACTATGGTGTAGAGCGGTTTAATCGCAATGTTCTTACCACTCTAATCCCGGATCCCTCTCTAAGCAGATCTCGCATTACAAACGCTTACCATAAATAATATTTTAGACCCCAATCGAATATTACTATAATCCGCAAAATTGGCTCGAACCGTCAATTCACGCGTCATAAAGTTAGTAAAAAGCGTTCGATCCCGTCAAAGTGACGCACTTTATGCCGCCATAAAGCGTCGGATCAGCGCGTTATGCAATGGAAACCGTCATTCCGTGTCATTCGCCAGAAGCGTCATAACTTAAAAACAATATGGAGAGGGAAAGAAAGATTATGCCAAATACGCGGTTCTGATTAGTGATGGGCGGATGATTTGTCGACATCGAGACAGTGCGATGACAGATCGACATAATAGAAAAAAAAACTCTGTAATGTATGTGGAGGTTCTATCCACTTCAGGCCAATATACGAGTAGTATGGCTTACTTCTTTGCTAAATAAATCAATGGGCTAATTTTCATTACTAATCTTTTATGAAGTTTCGATTTTTGAAACAGAATTAAATTAAAAGAAATGTCAACATGCACAGACGTTATCGTTACCATAAACCAGACCCGACTGTTTGTCGTCGGGTTTTCCCAATCCCAAATTCCCGTCACACAAACTGAACAATACAGCATCAATGATCGCGCGCAAATCTTTTCAATAAAAACTATCGATAAACCCCACCCCTAGCGAGCAATAGGCTTATACGCACTTATCTCGGCGAGATTGCCGCGCGGTCCCGGGTTTGACGCCGGCTATCGCCAACAAAGAGCTGGTGACGTACAATTTACGAGACACTTTTACGAGTGCAAAATACGTGGGACACGGTTTACGACCACCCTGTATAATAAGGGAGGGTAGGATATGCGGGGTCTGCAGATGGCGAAGGGTGGATTTCTGTCCTTTTGTATTAATGATCACGCTTTGTGAAGAAGTTAATATTTTTTAATATTTTTATTATTATTTATTATTTATTTATGTAGTTGTTTAAGCACTGCAATGGTTTAAAACTTTCAAATATTGCATGAATTGCATCATTACGCCAAAGACAAAATCCTGCTGGCCACTTTGGGACATCGATAGAGGGACACGTTTGACAGGGACCGTCTCTGATGCAATGGTATTCACACATTTTACACTACTCACTATTGAAATGAAATGATTAAAAACCTTATTTTTTGGTCAGTGAAAGCTGTTTTCTTTTTCTGAAATATTTTTCTACCAAAAAGAGTGTACAGTACTACGAAAGCTCTGCAGTTTCTGTGTTCTCGACAGCTACTGTACAGTAAAATGTTAGGGTAGGTTTAGTGCGCCTCAATGAGCGAACGCCGCCAGGGGGCGCCATTCAACTTATTACAGATAGAGCGTACGTCAATTCTTTGTATACTTTTATGTACTACCGCTCCCCAACTTTAATTAAAGGTAAGCTTCTCCTGATGAGTCCAAATCCTGTTAAACAGTGGCATCTTATGTACTGGCAATGAGTGCTTTTTCATTTTCTTCCTATGTTCAACGAGCCTCTTAAGTTTTTCACGTAATTCTTTAATGTTTCCAAACGCTTTCGTGGTCTAGCCGTGGTAAATTCTCTCGATCTAGAAGTCCTAGGTTCAATTTCCAGATACTTTCAGCTCAGTATCTTCCTATCTACATTTGAAAAACTTTTGTGTAATTTTAATCAATGGATATCTACCCTACACTTCATGCCAAATGAGGATGAGTTTTCAGTTAATAGGTACACTAGATCACTCGTGTTTCCAAGATAAGGCTGTTATTGCAATGTTGCCGGCTTTGACTTTATTCCCTCGTTATCCAGCGACCCTGTATTAAAGTGATGAGAGCCAGTGTTTACGAGTGCTGTTTTGGCAAAAATTATTCTTCGCTGACGCCGATGTTCCGACGGATTACAACACGAAGTTATTTCGGTTTTACGACTGCGTTGTAATTAGTTGAAAATTTCTAGAGATTTTCACTTAAAGTTATAGCTGTTGGGATGAAATTGGTAGTAATTTTGTTAGAATCCCAACTAATATTATAAATGCGAAAGTAACTCTGTCTGTCTGTCTGTCTGTCTGTCTGTCTGTCTGTCTGTCTGTTACGCTTTCCCGCTTAAACCTCGCAACCGATTTTGATGAAATTTGGCATAGAGATAGTTTGAGTCCCGGGAAAGAACATAGGATAGTTTTTATCCCGGTTTTTGAAACAGGGACGCGCGCGATAAAGTTTTTCTGTGACAGACAAAAATCCACGCGGGCGAAGCCGCGGGCGGAAAGCTAGTAGTCAATAAAGTAAATTCTTAAAGCTGTGAAAGCTTCCTTAATACGAAACAAAAAAGACGGCGTTCCTATCAACTCGTTTCATCCCTGTCCACTGTTGTGTTTTTATTTTTAGAGAATAATTTATGGAATATTTTCTTACATTTCGTGATTATCGTGATCAATCTATCATGGCCTCCTGACATGCCTCGATTGGGTTCAAAGTACTACGTATTTATCTTTCCAGTGACCCTAGACAATGTACCAATAATAGATTGATTTCGTGATAGCTTTAGAACGCCCGTGCGTGCCTAAGTTAGGTACAAAAAAAATGTCTGCGATTTTATCGAACCTAAATCGATAATGTTAAATTCATTGCCTAGAGTCATTGGTCATATAAAGCCTGTAATCTAACCAAGTAACGAGAACATAGAGATATGGCAAGTCATGGAACCAGAACTCCTACAAAAGAACTCCCACTGTCAGCAGTGAGGAGTTTTCCACGAAAATGAACACAATCCATCAAGCCGGTACCGCGCGGCTCTCACAATGGCCGCGTGCGCCGGCGCAGCGATCGAGACCACAATAGGCGCGCGCATGGCAACAGGCACACTGCAGGCACGAGCAGTAACAAATACTTAGTTTTGCTGGAAAGAGTCATCATCATCATCATTTCAGCCACAGGACATCCACGTCCACTGCTGAACATAGGCCTTCCCCAATGACTTCTAGATTAGCTGATTGGTAGCGGCCTACGTCTTGCGCATTCTTGCTACCTTTATGAGGTTTTGTCCACCTTGTGAGTAGACTTCCCACACTGCTTATTCGGTACGTGGCCTCAACACCAAAACCTAGCTCATTTGTCACTCTTAGTATTAAGATAATTACTTTAATTCGATAGGTTAGTAAACTTGTTCAAAGCTCTACCTATATTAATAATACTGGTATTTGGATTTGGATCCTCTTATCGGTTCACTTGGGGTATTGTGAGCTTTGGTGTGTTCAT